AGAAAATAATACGATGAAAAGGAAGATTGAAAATTTAACGTATTCCAGAGGGCGTTAGCGTAAATCCATCAAATTTTCGAATGAGGAAAGGGTGGGGAGTCCCGACGCGATATTAGATTATGAGCAGCGTCGATGGGACGCAAAATGACGCGGTAGCTACCTACGTTAACGTTTTCATCGTAAATTTATCGAGGTAATAATTCGCAACTACGAAATACAACTTCTATACCATACCTACAAACCACTAACCTAACCTCTACCATGTTGTTGTTATTATTATTACTGTGGTATTTGCTATTATTTATAAATCTACCTATTTCTATTTTTATTCGATTCTTAATTAATTTCAATTTTCATAAACAAATTTATTAACAAAATGATTCATAATTTTAATGAAATATTTTCAAATACGAAAATAGATGATATTTCCTTCATTTCTTTGTAAAATTTCCTAACCTCTCCCCTCTCGAATAAGAGACGTTGAATAATTTAACGTTCACCGAACACGAAGCAATTTTCAAATTTTCATCTCTTCGATCTTTGAATAGACTTCGTGTTACCAACCAGGCAGAAAATGGTTGATATATGACCAATTCATTTGCCAAATCGAAATATAACGTTGACGAAAATTCGGACAAACATTTTTTTTTTTTGCTTTTTCTTTTTTTTAACATTATTTTAATACATCAACGATTTGTTAAACGATGATCATTTATCCTGACAAATTTATTTTCAATATTGACTCAATTATTGAACACTTAAACAACAATTAATAAATTGATTGTAATCAATGATTTATTATTAATCATTGTAAATATATTTTGTATTAAATATTGTTCGTGTATTATTTAAAAAAAAAAAACAAAAATTAAATAAAAATTATTAATCAATTGAAGTACTCACTGTTGGCCGTTTTGGAAATGCTCCGGTATTCTGCAAATGAAACAAACAAAAAAACAAATCAGTGGAAATTGTTCATTTTGCAATAACAAAATTTCATTTTAAAAAATACGAATATATTATTATTATTATTATTATTATTATTATTATTATGTGATGATGGGTTAAGTAAATCATCTCTTTTTCTGTCAATTTAATTTCTAACAATAAATGTTACCAAAAATGTAGAAAATAATTCGACGAATAAGCGACAAACGTGACCACCCCCAGTGGTGGTGCAACGTTTTTCTAAACGCACAAAGATCTCCCAACGAAAACGTGCTACGAATTTCTAAACGTTTTCCAACGATATTTTCTTTTAGAAAAGATATTTTCCCAACCTTCCTTTCCTCCTCCCTCCAACCCCTTTACTCCGTTTATTTCTCTTCTTGGTGTTGCAACTTTGGAAACTTCGAAAATCTTTGGGAACAATTTCTGTGCTAACGTTTACAAAAAATTCTTTTCAGTGACAAATATAACACACGACTCATATGAAAATATTTTTTTTTTTATGTGGAAACAAACAAACAAAATTATTTATAAATTGTTTGTAATATAATATCACATGTAGATAAATTAATAATAAGAAGAACAAATATTGGGCTATGTTCGGAAAGTAATTTTGTTTTATTTTTGTTAAAATAAAGACAATTTTTGTTTCAAGGGTAAATTTAGGATTTTTGAGTGAATTTAATGGTTTAAATTTGATAAATTTCAATTCACGTGTTGTTATTTGCCGATTTGCATTTAATTAATATCAAAATTGTGTCACAGGAAAAAAAAACGAAATTACTTTCCGAACAACCTCATAGAATTGTACAGCTTGTTTGTTTCAAATAAATTAAAAAAAAAAAAAAGCCCTTGTAGCAACAAAATCACAGTTGCTAACAATGTTGCTAATCGTCAAACGCATGAATTATTGCAAATATAAAAAAAAAAAAAGACAGAGAGGGAGGGGGAGTGGGTGGTGGGAAGATTGATGTGAAAGTGAAAGAAGAAAAAACATGGTTCTGATGAGCTTAGAATTTCATGGTGTTTTATTCGTAGGAAAGAAAAAAATCAACGTTGCTTTTTTTTTTTTTTTACCTTCACAAAGAAACCAATGAGAAAGAAAGAGAGAGAGAGAGAGAGAGAGAGAATAATGGTCGAACAGTCTCCCCCAAAAGTTCGTATTCGACATTTGAAACATTTCGTTTGAATTTTTACGGTTAAATGGAGTAGTATCCCTTTTGTTAGAAGCGTAAAAAAGGAAATCAAAAGTAGTAACAGCTGTCGATCCTCTCTACGGGGGTGGTATATATACTTTCAATCGTTTTTCAATGACGTACCTTTAGGGTTTGGGTGTCTGTCTGTCTTTTCAATTCTCTTTGATGTCCAATTGACACGAAATATATCAAACGATATATATGTAACTATCAAAAGTATCATCCACCATTTAAAATTCATATAGGGAAATTTATTGTCACAGTCAAAATATTATTTTGTATTTAAATTATTTTGTTGGATTTTATTTTTATATTTATATAATTGTTCATGAAAATATATATAATTTATAGTATTATATTATTATATATAATTTAATTTGATTATATACATATATTATATTATATACTAGGGGTGCCCCCGCTACGCATTGCTGTGGCTCACAATCAGTCTGATACACACGTCTCTTTAAGTCAACGAATTACCTTATACCGCCATCTGTTAGAATGATATAAACTATCCTATTTTTCAAGTTGGATGAAACTGCACACAGTGTGCAAAATTTTATTCAAATCGGTTCAGTAGTTTAGGAGTCCATTGCGCACAAACAACGTGACACGCAATTTATATATATTAAGATATAACAGGTACACGTATTTCAATTTAAACAAATTTGATTTTACCTTACTTTTTGTTATAAATTAAATACAGTATATTAAATAATAATTATAATACTAATCGTGAGAGAAAATCAAGCTTACTATACATTGATTTTATTTTTTCTTATTTTTTCTAATTTTAAATAATTTTAAGGGACCAATTATAATCATATATTGTGCAAAATAATTCAAGATAAATTTGATAGAATTTTGTTTTCTAAAATAATTCAGAAAGATAATAGGTAACATAAGTTTTATGAGAAATATTTAGAAATGGTACTGTAAACAATCTAAAGGACGAATAAGAAGAGCTTAAGAAAGGGTCTTCTATAAAGGGAAGGGTCCAGATGTTTAAGGAAGTGACAAGTGTAAGCCGTTGTCGTTTATTTGTTCCTGACCTCGACTAACATGTAAGATGCTAAAGGAACAAGGTTGGATGAGTTAGGGTTGTGTATAAGGGTAAAGAAAACTTCAACTAAAGGTTCCTTCTTTTACATCATAGTTCAAAGACCTTTTTTTTTGAATTCATTGTATGAGTCTGTTTGTTTCTTTTCATTGAATTATAAATATTATAATAAAACAATTATTATTTTGATTGCATACAGAAAGACAAAGAGGATTACTTTTTCATTTCAATTATTATTATTTACTGTAAATATTTTTCAATTGTATTAATATATATATATATATAATAAAAATAATAATAACGAAAAATGTATATTTATATTTGTATATTACATATTACTCTATAAAATAAAATAAATTTGTATTAAACACCATATAATAATATTTAAAAAAAAAAAAAAAAGTTAAAATATATATAATAAAAATAATAATAATAAAAAATATATATTAATAATAATAAATAATATATTATTATAAAATCAAAAAAACTTTCTCAATTTCTATAAAATTCATGAAACAACATACTCGAAAATTTTTATAAGAAAAAAGAAAAATAGGGTGGTAATATGAAGGTGGTAGTAATGGTGGTGGTGGTGGTGGTGGTGGTGTTAGTGGTGGTGGAAATTGCGAAGAAGGAAGGGAATCGTTGGAAAGGGAAGTGAAGGGAAGGGAAAGGGTGTGCATCGTTTTAACTTCGACCGAGGTTCTACGCGCATAGCAACCGGCGGGTTTTAGTACTATAAATAAAAGGCGGATACGCGTTTATCGAAAGAAGAATAAATATATAT